AGGCCCCGTACAACCATACACAGATGAACGGTGGGAGGAGAGACGATGGAGGTGGGAGGTATAGGCAGTGTCAGATGTCACCGAGATAGAATCCAGAAGGTCACCGATATGGTAGTCCAAAATGTCACCGAACAAAATCAGAATGTCATGGACATAAGTCACCAATGTCGGAGGCGCAGAATCCTCATGTAACTGGTGTGATCTGTGGTACCGCCTGGTAGGTATCCAATGTCTCTAGATTTTATTAATAAATTGAATGTTTGAATTTTATAGTAGTCCTGTAAGTATCCCAGCCTCCTATCACCGAAGTCCAACCACTGATCTCTGTCCAATTCGTACCAAAGTCTCCAGTCTGATGAAGAAGAAGAAGAAAAAGAAGAGGGAGGAGGAGGAGGAGGAGAGGAAGAAGAAGAGATCGAAGAGGGGCAGAGGAGGGAAGGAGGTGGTGAGTCAGTGCCCAGCCTCCTACGTGCAGATGCAAGCCGGCGCCTTGGAACTGTTGAAGAATCGCAGCTTCAACCTGGAGCTATGGTGCTGCGCAGGTAAGCCAGTAAGTGTCCTTCTGCCACCTCTAGCCGTCACTCAGCGCTAATCAGCGCTATGGTGCTTGGAGCTGCGCTAGACCAAGATTAGCGCAGCGTTCCTCGAAACTGCTGCCGTCCGCCCTTTGTCCCGAAATGGCCGTTGGCTGGGCCTAAATACTGACCGGCGGCCAGTTCGGCCTTTGCCTCCCACGGTGGCCTCCGATCTGAACCGTCGGATCTATCGTACGATCCGTGGTTCAGGTCAGATCGGTTTTCAGGAAGCAGGCTGCCTAAATGGTGGCCTGGTCCAAATGAAACGTTTTGGCCGTTTCTCGCCCAGGGCCTGTGGCTGCAGGGCCTGGTCTAGAACCGGTTGCCCAAGGCCAAAGGGGCGGCCTAAAAAGGTCCGGCCTTTGGGCCGGCCTGGCTTGGATTATTGCGTCCAGACCCTCGGAACCCCTCAGCCTAGTCGTAGGGCCTGAAACGGCCCGTGTGGAATGTAGCATGTAACACACAGAGAGAGAGAGAGAGAGAGAGAGAGAGAGAGAGAGAGTCTAAACGCACGTGCGCAAGACACGGGAGGGAGGGGAGGGGGGAGAGAGAGAGGTCCGTTGACATGGTTTAAACAGGCGCACT